AAAAAAAAAGAAAGAAAGAAAGTAAATAAATAAATCTTTTTTTCTGTTTCAGGTTTCTGATTTGTGTTTATTTCCATGAATATAACACCCCCCCTCTTTTTTTGGCAGTTTTAAGCAGGTGGAGTAGAATGAGAATTGAAAAGGGAATAAGTTAGTTAAAAGGGTTGGAATTTAATGGGAGATAGAAGGAAACAGGAAGATGAGAGGTAGTGGTGTGGTAGTTAAGGCGCTGGACATTCCCACATGGTCGACCACAGTACAAGTCCTGATCCTGGTGGCTGACTTCTCACTTTCCCCATCTCTCTCTGTATCTAACTCTAGTCAAATTAAAACAATAAATAAGTAAATGAATGGATAAATAAATAAATAATTTTAAAAAAAATAAAAAGAAAAGGAAGAAAAGCCAAAAGATGGAAGAGGTGAAAGGAAAGAGAGGAAGCAGATATTTGATGTTCTCTCTAGAGACACTCAGTGGAAAGACGGCCTAAAGTCAGAATTCACACTGTGCTTTAAAAACATTTCTGCTGCTTGGGGCCGGCAGGTGGTGTAGTGGTTAAGGGTGACCATGGTGACCATGGTTTGAGTCCCAGACCTAGTGACTTAATTTCTCACTTTCTCTCTCTCACTCTGTCCTTCTCTGACCATATTTTAAATAAATAAATAAATAAAGTTAAGTAAAATAATTATTTAAAAAAAATTTCTGCTTCTAATTGTTTTAACAATGACCAGGCCAGCCAGGTGGCGATAGGTTAAGGTAACTAGATCTCACATGGCCAACTGTGCAGTTCAAGTCTCAGACCGGGCAGCTTGAGAAACACCCTGGGCATTTGAGCATGCGTACCCAAAATCTCAAGAAGGCAATGAAGGAGAAAGGATTATGGTGTGGCCATCCCCACTGGGGGGTGTGATTTCTCATTTTCTCCTCTCTTTTTCTGTTTCTCTGACAAGTACACATGCCCTGTAAAAAAAACTTAAAAAAAAAAAATCTAACAATGACTGTTTGGATCTGTTTTTCTTTTTTCCTCTCTTTCTTTTTCTGTTTTTCTTTTGAGTTTATTTCTTTCTTTCATAAGAGGCAGAAAGACAGGCAGTTCCAACAGGACCCTCATGCCGCTATCTACCCTCAGTCTCCGCTGCCTGGGATCACAATCTCAGCTGGCTGGAGTCACAGGCACACCTGACCTATGTGCTCAGGGAGGTCCCAGGACAAGAACCCAGAATCGTTCCCATGTGGGTCTGATTGCGTTACCTCTGCCTTTTGACCCCCTTGCGTTGGGTCCTTCTTGTTTGTTTTTAAAGAGATGAAAGAATTATCCCTCTGCATTTTTTTAAGCTTGCTATAGGGCACATGCACACTCCAGAGAGAGAGGGCAATAGTGAGAAATCACCACCAGGAGATGGCTATGCTGTCATCCCTCTCCTCTGTTCTTCTCTCTTAACTTTGGGCATGCACACACACCTATTAAGTTTTCTTAAGAAAATCCTGACAAAAGTGTTGGTATGATCATTCCAATTTTTTTTTTTACTATCTCTGCTTTCTCAGCACTTATCAACCTCTTTTTAAATGTTACAGTAGTAGTGGTTAGTTCATCTTTGTAATTGAAAAAAAATTGTTTTTATTTGTTAAGGGGCATGTGTGCTTGCCAGAGAAAAAAAGATAAAGTGAGAAAGCATCCCCTCCAGGGAGGATGACCATGCCACAATCCCTTCTATACCTGGGATTTGGGGCACACATGCACATGTGCCCTGCATGTTTCTCAAGCCACCAGCTGTGAGACTCAAAACATGTAGCCTACCACGTGGGATCCAACTACCTTAACCTTCATACCACCTGCTGGCCCTGTATTTTAATTGTTAACTTTAAGGTATCCTAGTTCAGAGAGATACCATGTTGTAAATGAATTATTTTGAAGTGTATTTGATCTGTTTTTTTGTATTCAGGTCTTATATGTAGATTCTTAAAGATGCCCTCAATATACCACCCAGCTACCACTCATTGCCTCAGAGGTCTGGTAATGTACAGTAATAGCATAGCATAGCTGACATTTTTTTTTTGTTTGTTTATTAATATTTTATTTGTATAAAGGACTTAAAACAGGCATAAATGATTTTTTTTTTTGAGAGGTTTTTGCTATAGGGCACGTGCGCTCACCAGAAACAGAGAGACAGACAGAAAGCGAAAACTCACTCCCCAAGGGGGGCTGGCCACACCACAACCCCTTCTCCTCCATTCTCCTCTTGGGATCTTGGGGCATGCACGCACATGCGCCCGGAGTTGAGTTTAAGCCACTGGGTCCAGGACTCGAACCACGGTTGACTACATGAGAGTCCAGCAATATAGCCATTATACCAACTACTGGTCCCCATAAATAATATTTTTAAAACTTTGCTAGAGAGTGCACATTCACCAGAGAGTGACAGAGGCAATCCCTTTTCTTCCCATTCTCCCTTTTTTTAGGTTTTTGCCCACTATATTTATCAAGCCACAATGTCAGGGACTCAAACTGCACAGATGACTGTGTGGGATCCAGCCACCTTAGTCACCACACCACCTGGCCCAGGTATAGTTGACATTTTAAAGGTTAAGATTATGGGACTTGGGGTCAGCAGGTGGCAAGGTGGTTAAGGTGCTGGACTCCCATGTGGCCACCCATGGTTCTAGTCCCAGACCTGAAGACTTCCTTCCTCTCTTTCTCTCTCTCTGTGTCTCTCTGATCAAAGTTTTAAAAAATAAAATAAAATGGGGACCAAAAGGTGGCATAATGGTTATGTTACTAGACTTCCACATAATCAACTATGGTTCAAATCCCGGACCTAGTGGCTTAAAACTCACACCAATGCACCAATGTATGTGCATGCATGCCCAAGATCCCAAGAGGGGAATGGAAGAGTAGGGATTGCAGTGTGGCCATCCGCCCGAGGGGTGATTTCTCATTTTCTTTCTCTCTGTCTCACCAGTGAGTGAACATGCCGTATAGTGAAAATCTCTCTTTCTTTTTTTAAGAATTATTTATTTATTATTATTATTCAAATGGAGCAGGAGCAAACAAACTGCCAGGTTCAGAACTTGAACCGTGGTTGGCCATGTGGGTGTCCAACATCTTAACTACTACACCCATCACCTTTAAAGTAAATTCTTTAAAAATAAATAAATTAAATTAAATTAAATAGTTCTTTTTAAAAAATGCAGGACCGGCAGGTGGCATAGTTTAAGGTACTTGAATCCGACCATGGCCGACCATGGTTTGACTCCCAGACCCAGCGGCTTGAAACTCACGCCAGGCATGTATGCATGCATGCCCTCAATCCTGAGAGAAAGAAGGAGAAAGGACTGTGGCGTGGCCACCCCTCCTGGGGGGTGATTTCTCGCTTTCTGTCTCTCTGTCTCTGTCTGGCTGGTGAGCGCACGCACCCTATAGTGAAAAACCTCTCAAAAAAAAAAAAAAAGATAGTGCAACGGGGGTCAGCAAGTAGCCTAGTGGTTAAGGCTCTGGACTCTCACACTATCGACCACAATTCAAGTTCCAGACCCAATGGCGGCTGCTTGAAACTCATGCTGGGCACATGTTTGTTCATACCTGAAACCCTGAGAGGAGAATGAAGGAGAAGGGATTACGGTGTGGACATCTTCCCTAAAGTGTACTTTCTCACTTTCTCTCTCTCTGACTCTGTCTATGTCTCTGGCAAGCACATATGCCCTTACAACAAAAATCTCTTCAAAAAATTATGGTACAAGTTTTCCTTTAAATTTAACCTTTTAACAGGGTTATTTATGTAATTTTATTTAATTTGCTATCAGATACATGCTCACCAGAGAGAGAAGGAGAAGGAAAGTGAGAAAGCAAACCACCAGGTTCAGTACTTGAATTGTGGTTGACCATGTGGGAGTGCAGTGGCTCATCGACCACACAACCTGCTGGCCCTTAAATTTAACTTTTTTTTCCTTAAAGATTTATTTTATTTAATGTTTATTTGTTTATTTAAATTTGACGGGAAAGGGACAAAGTGAGAGAGAGAGGGAAAATGGAAAAGCAAGCCACCAGGTGTAGGTCTCAAACTGGCGGTCAGCCACGTGTGAGTCTACCACCCTCAACCACCATGCCACCTGCCAGCTCCCCCTGCCCCCAATTTAACTTCTAAAATAAAGTATTAAGACAAATATAGGACCAAGCTCATATGTATTTTTTGATCTGGTGTAAGGTGCATGTGCTAGCCAGACAGACACAGGGACAGCGACTCAGACTCAGAAAGCACCCACCTCCCCCCAGAAGATGGCCACACCACAATCCCTTCTCTTCCATTCTCCTCTCTCAATTTTGAGAATGCACACACAGACACACACACACACAGCTTATTTTCCAAGCTGCTCTGTCTGGAACTCAGACTGTGCCGTCAACCATGTGGCATCTGTCTTAACCACTGTGTCACTAGCTGGCCCCCAAGTTCCTATTTTTAACTTTGTATGACTCATTTGTTAAGAAAATTAAGATGACATATAATAAATGAAAACTTCATCTTGGGCATTTATCCATGCCTATGCCGCTGAACTCCCATGTAACCAACTGCGGTTCGAGTCCCAGACCTGTTGGCTTAAACTAACTCCAGGCGCATGTGCGTGTGTGCCCAAGATCCCAAGAGGAGAATGAAGGAGAGCGGATTGCGGTGTGGCCATCCCCCCTGGGGGGTGATTTCTTGCTTTGTATCTCTCTGTCTTTCTCTGTTTTTCTGGCAAGCACACACACATACCCTGTAGCAAAAACCTCTCAAAAAAAAAAAAAAAAGAAAGAAAGAAAAAATCTTACCAGAGCTATTAAAAATTATTGTAGACTTTTTGTTGTTGTTGTTCTCTGCTCTCTGTTGGTGTAAAGTCGCAAAATAAAAGAGGTTAAATTCAGGGATCAACAAAGACAACTCATATAACTGGATAATTACAAGTTGATTTTAGGAAAGAAATAAGTGTTGTAGGTTCTTTTTTATGGAATGTTTATGTATACCCACAGCTCAGCCAGCGGGAGTGCCGGAAATCCTAAAGAAAAGCTTGCATAGCTGTTCAGTGAAAGGAGAGGAAGAAGTGTTTTTAATCGGCAAGAACTTTCTGAAAGGAACTAAAGTTATTTTCCAAGAAAATGTCTCTGGTAAGTAGGCATGTTGGTGGTTTAGAAATGGTTGGCATGTTTCACTTTGTTTTAAAGGTACACTCATAGCTACAGAGTAGAAAAAAAATTCAAAAATTTAGTAAGTAAACTGTTTTTGTTTTAATCAGATGAAAATTCTTGGAAGTCAGAAGCTGAAATCGACATGGAATTATTTCATCAGGTATAATTTAAGCCTTTTTATTATTTGGTTATTTACTTTCTAAGCAGTTTTGTTTTGGTCTAGAAATTTCAGAATCAATAGATTAAATTTCCTTTTCATATTTTTCCTTTTTATATGGGATCAATATTAATCATTTAAAATTTATTTAAGTTATTTCAACTGAAATAGAATTATTCAACTGATGATGAATAGTAAGCATGACCTGTTCTCTGTTTTCTATTCTTTATTTATTTTTTATTGCCAGAGGCTGCATGTGGTGGTCAGGAATGAGGGTGGGATAGGAGGGAAACACCCTACATGAAATGTGGTGGTGCAATCCCTTCTCCTCCCATTCTTCATACAGAATCCTAGACATGCTCACACTCACTCTGGGAGTATTCTCGAGCCGTGGGGCTGGGACTTAACCATGGTTGACCATGTGGGATCTGGCTCCACATGTACAGCACTTAACTGCTGCCATACTGGATCAGCTCTCTAATTCTTTTTTTGTTTTTTGGAGAGATTTTTGCTATAGGGCACGTGCGCGCACCAGACAGAGAGAGACATAGAGGCAGAAAGCGAGAAATCACCCCCCAAGGGGGATGGTCATGCCACAATCCCTTCTCCTCCATTCTCCTCTCTGGATCTTGGGCACGCACGCACATGCGCCCGGTGTGAGTTTTAAGCCACCAGGTCCAGGACGCGAATCGCAGTGGACTACGTGGGAGTCCAGCGACATAGCCATTACGCTAACTTCTGGTTCCCTAATTCTTTTCTTTTTTTAAGTTTACTTATTTTTTCCATAAACCAGAGACAGACAGGCAGAGAGAAAGCACCCCTAACACGATCTTGATGCCATAGTTAGTCCTCGGTTTTAGCTGGCTCCAGGTCATGGGCACACATATACCTGGCACATTCTGGAACCTTCCCAGGAGTGTCAGCCTTGCAGAACATCACATTTTACCGCTATAACACTATTAACGTCCCCTGAGCAGTTCTCTAATTTAAAAGATTAAGAGAGCATTAGTGGGGACCAGCAGGTGGCATTGTGGTTAGGTCTCTGAACTCCCACATGGCTGATGGTGGTTAAAATCCCAAATCCCGTGGTTTAAAAATCATGCCCTGTGTGTGTGTGTATGTGTGCATGCCCAAGATACCAGGAGGAGAATGGAGAAGAAGAGATTGCAGTGTGGCCATTCCCCCAGGGGGTGATTTCTCATTTTCCCTCTCATTGTGTCTATCTTTGTCTTTTCCTCTCTTCCTCTCTCTCTCTCTGGCAATCGCACGTGCCCTGTGGCAAACATCTCTGGGGAAAAAAATAGCATTAGCAGACATTACCATTGTTAATAAAGGGAACATTTCTTTCTAATATTTATTTTGTCTGCAGATTTGTATTATCTTAACCTATTATGTAGTTAAATCAAAGTGAAACTAATATTTTTTGAGTACCTGCTGTGTACCAGGTATTTGTTTCCTAAGGCTGCTTTCTTGTGTTTAGAAGCACTGGTCAAACTTGTATTAGTCTTTATTCGTAAGAATTCCACATGTAAGGACCAGCAGTTAGAGTAATGGCTATGTCACTGGACTCCCATGTAGTCGACCACAGTTCGAGTCCCGGACCCGGTGACTTAAACTCACACTGGGCGCGTGTGCGTGCGTGCCCAAGATCCCGAGAAGAGAATGAAGGAAAAGATATTGCGGCATAGCCAGTCCCCCTGGGGGATGATTTCTCACTCTCTGTCTCTCTGTCTCTCTGTCTTTCTGGCAAGCACACGCGCCCTATAGCAAAAACCTCTCCGAAAAAAGAAGGGAAGAAAAATGGAGTATCAATCTATAGTCATTTTATCCAAAAAGTTTGTAATTCCTTTGTGGGTTTTTAACTTGTTTTTATTTTTTATTCCTTTGTGTATTCAGAAATGCAATTTAAAACCTACATCCAGTATATTGTCAGATTCAATGCTAAAGGCACAGCCAAGACCTCCCTCACTTCAGACACCATCGACAAGTTCAGAGGTCCCTAGATCACATTCCCTTTTGAAAAACTACCTTCAAACCCAGGTTTTCCCATTATCCCCTCAGATATGATTATTTCTAGAATAATTCACAGAATTCTGGAAAATGCTATACATATGATTATAGATTTATTACAATAAAAGGATACAAACCAGAACCAGCTAAAGGGACAGAATCATAGGACAGAATTTGGGAGCATCCCCATATCAAGCTTCTATCATCCTCAGCAATGCTTTATCCTCTCAGCACAGTCACATGTGACAGTACACAGAGAACTGCTAATCAGGGATGGTTACCCAAGCCTTTAATGTGCAGGGCTTTGCTTTGTTTTGTTTTGTTTTAGTTTTTGCTATAGGGTGCATGTGCCTGCCAAAGAGAGACAGAGAGAGAGGGAAAGTGAGAAATCATCCCTGAGAGGGGATGGCCATACTGTAATCCCTTCTCCTTCATTCTCCTCTAAGGATTTTGGGCATGTACACACACACACACACACACACACAGCGTGAGTTTTAAACCGCCAGTTCTGGGACTTGAACCACAGTCAACTACGTGGGAGCCCAGTGATGTAACCATTATGCTATCTGCTGGTACCTGCACCGTGGTTTTGAATAGCTGTCAACTGTGGGTAACTGAAACCGTGGAAAGCAAAGCCAAGGATGAGCGTGGGGTGAGGGTTACTATAAAATAGCTCTTAAAATTATGGTTTTAACTTGCCATTTCTTACAGAAATGTATATTAATATGTCATCATTTCCCCTCTCTCCTCCCCTTTCCTCCCTCTTCTCATTTCCCTTCCACTATCCTCCCTCCTTTCTCACTCCTCCCTCACCCACCCATCCTTCCCTCTTCCCCTCCCATCTCTTTGAGGCATAATTAATATTTTTTAAAAATTAAGAATTATTTATTTAATTTTATGTATTAGTATTATTATTATTACTCAGTTTAACAAGAAAGAAACAGAGAGAAAGCAAGCTGTCGGGTTCAGCATTCAAACTGCAGCCAGCCATGTAGGAGTCCAGCACCTTAACCACCATGCCACTTGCCGGCCCAAAGCATAGTTATATAATTTTTTTTTAAGAAAGAGATTTTTGTTGTAGGGTACATGCACTTGCCAGAGAGGTAGATAGAGAGAAATCACCTCCCAGGGGAGATGGTCACACCGCAATCCCTTCCCCTCCAGTCTCCTTTTGGGATTTTGAGCATGTGTGCATGCACTCATGTACATAGTGTGAGTTTTAAGCCACCAGGTCTGGGTCTCCAACTGTAGTCAATATGTGGGAATCCAGCAACATAACTGTTATGCCATGTGCTGGTCCTAGCATAGTTATATATATTTTTTCCTTTAGTTTCTTTCTTTTTTTTTTTTTGGAGAGATTTTTGCTATAGGGTGTGTGTGCTCACCAGAAAGACAGAGAGACAGAAAGCGGGAAATCACCCCCCAGGGGGATGGCCATGCCGCACTTCCTTTTCTCCCATTCTCATCTCAGGATCTTGGGCACGCATGCACATACGCCCGGTGTGAGTTTAAGCCACAGATCTGGGACTTAAACCATGATCGACTACATGGGAGTCCAATAACATAGCCACCAGCTGTTAGTCCCATGACATAGATATATTTTTAAAATACTTTTATTCAGGGCAGTATGCTGGCTAAAGAATTAAAGATTAAAGAATATCTTAAAAAATAAAACATGGTGGGGACCAGCAGATGGCATAATGGTTGTGTCGCTGGACTCCCACATAGTCACTCCAACTTTCTATGTGTGCATGTCCAAAATCCTGAGAGATGACTGGAGGAGAAGGGATTGTGTTGTGGCCATCCCCCTAGGGGGTGATTTCTTGGTTTATGTCTCTCTGTTGAGCGTATGCACCCTATAGTAAATATCTCTTGGGACCAGCAGTTGCTGTAATGGCTATGTCGCTGGACTCCCATGTAGTTGATCATGGTTTGAGTCCTGGACCCAGTGGCTTAAACGCACACCGGGCAAGTGTACATGCATGCCCAAGATCCTGAGAGGAGAATGGAGGAGAAGGGGTTGTGGCATGGTCATCCCCACTTGGGGGTGATTTCTCGCTTTCTGTCTCTCTCTTGCTTTCTGTGTCTCTCTCTGTCTTTCTGGTGAGTGCATGTACCCTATAGCAAAAACCCCTTAAAAAAAAAAAAACTCAAATAAATAAATAGATAAATAAGACATGGTGAAATGCCAAAAAATGATACTTTTTTTGGTAGCTCTATCTAAAGGTCCTGAGATTTTTTTAAACAAAATATGTAAAAAAAACTAAATGGGACCCAGCAGGTGGCATTGTGGGTTAAGGGCACTAGACTCCCACGTGATCAACCATAGTTTTGTTTTGTTTTGAGAGGTTTTTTGCTACAGAGCGCATGCGCTCGCCAGACAGACAGAGAGAGACATAGAGACAGAAAGCAAGAAATCACCTCCCGGCGGGGGGATGGTCACGCCGCAATCCCTTTTCCTCCATTCTCCTCTCCTCTCGGGATTTTGGGCACGCATGCACACGCGCCTGACGTGGGTTTTAAGCCACTGGGTCCGGGATGTGAACCGCAGTCAACTACGTGGGAGTCCAGCGACATAGCCGTTACGCTAACTACTGGTTCCCAACCATAGTTTGATTTCCAGACCTGGCAGCTTGCTTTCTCTTTCCTTCTCTCTCTCTCACTCTCTCACTCTGTCCCTCACTGGTCAATTTAAAATAAATAAATAAAGTTAAATAAAAAGTT